TAATTCAGACAGCAATACTCATTGTCCAGTACCTGCAGCGAGGGCTGAGTTTAGATAGAGCCTTTTTTGAAGCATGCCGGGAAGTATATGTTGTCTCCCAGCATTCAGCAGCAAACCAGAAGGTACTGTGAAATGTTTTGGACAGCTTTCCAAATTGTAATACACTGTGCTATTGAGTAGGGGGAAATTATTCTTATAGATGGCAACTTTAACAACGTAAGAGAATTGACCTCTGCAGTTTTTCTCTAGTGAAGATTTGGTGTGGTATTTTTCTGGAAGATGGCTTAAATATAAATATTCCTTTCAAGAAACATCTATAATCAAAAGTAGAATTTAAATTTAACTTCTGGTATTGAATGTTGAAGAATGTGTCTAAGAGTTATTGGGAGAGGGTCATGTGGACTCCAAGAACTCCTACATTTGTCTGCTAACGTTTTTGGTAACAGCACTTACCTGTGGGGCCTTTGTACCCTGTTTTTCTCTCTCTCTCTCTCTCTCTCCTTCAATTGTAGATAGACACAATACCTTTATTGTATTTATTTATTTTATATGGTGCTGAGGATCAAATCCAGTGCCTCACGCATGCCAGGTAGGTGTTCTACGACTGAACCACAACCCTAGCTTCTGTGTTTTATCTCTTGCCAGCTCGTGCAGGCTTTACTGGAAAAATGTGTTTCTTCTCTGCGAGCACGGGAAACCTGGGGAAACTCAATTCTTGCCACGGGACTGTGGCCAGATTCTGTGCCCTCAGCTCTCTTTGCTACCGAAGATTCTCATCTCTCTATTGTCCGAAGGGATGGACAGATCCTGGCATACTGTCTCAACAGAATGAGCATGAAAACCAACAGCTGGGTGAGGTCAGTGGAGCCCACAGCTTGTGTGCCTCCTTGTTTCTGAAATGATTTTTGCTTTTGCTTGTAATGGTCAGAACACAATATATTCAACCTACTATTATGTAGCCATTTATTATCCAGCTATCATATTTTTATTGTTTATTGCTTATTGTAATATCCCTCCCCATTTATTATTTTTTAAGGGTATGTGTATGTACATTCCTGTTTTAATTGTCCTTGTGTGGGAAAATCATCATTTTTCCTCTTTGCTACAATATTTGCAAATTAGTTTTCATGGTTCTTTGAAATATGAAATAAAAGGTTGTTCTACTATTAACTTTGTCTCATTTCAATGAATTTCAGGAGTCAGCCTCTTACCTTGCAAGACTTAGAGAAAATTATGCAGTCTTCCAACCCTGAGAACCTGAAATTTAATGCAGTAGAGGTGGAAACATATTGGATCGATGAACCAGATGTTTTGGCCATGGCTGTTAAACTGCTCATAGAAAGAGCAACAAATCAGGATTGGATGCTCAGAGTTAAATGGCTTTATCATTTAGCCAA